TGGGCAGTGTTGAGCTTGAAAACCAGTGCCCTCGCCGTAGAAGGTTCTTGTCACCTGGCGGTACGAGTTGAAGTCGCAACATCGGGATCGCAGTCTCCGCCGTAGCGGTCAGCAGAGTAGGTGCCGCCCGCACTTGTCGCCCTGGCACGTGTGGTAGGCGTTGTTCTGGCAAGGGTGGGGAGTGTAGGCGGTGGAGATCTTGTTGGCCTCTGTCAAGTTGTTAGCATGTGGTCGTCGTGTTAGGCTGTGGGCAGGCAGGCAACGTACCCCAGATATCCATCTCAGCGCAGCAGGCACCGAGGTTACCGACACCAGAGTTGGGATCATCCGCAGCAGGGACCCAGCCGGCAACGTTGGCCTGTAAGTGATGGTTAGTCGGGCTTTATCTAAGAGACTGAGGCTGTACTGACAACACCGCCAATGAACTTGACATCGCGGGGGCACTGGCTGTCGCAGTAACCGGTACCGTACTTGGCACCGGCCTTGTTGGTGGAGTACTTGGAAACACCACCGTCCAGGTCCATGGAGACAAAGTACAGAGCGCCGTTGAGACCGCAGCCGGTCTTGGAGACGTCGACGTCGAAGGTGAACTCGTTGCCGAGGAGGTTGAAGGCCTGGTACTTGGTCTCGTTCTCCATGAGGTAGACACGGCTGCCGATGTTGGTGCCGTACTGGTGCTTGGTGACGAACTTGAGGGTCAGGGCATTGCCGCTGGTGGTAACACCGTAGGTGTTGGCGTAGTCAGCGCCGTCAACGCAGCACTGCTGGGCGCAGGTAGTGCCGTCGGTACCGCAAGAGGCGGTCCACTTGTTGCCGTCGTAGCAGTTTGTGGATCCGGAGACGGTGTGAGTCCATCGCCAGTTGGAGTCGAGGACGACGGAGCCCGAGACGTTGGTGCAGCTGGAACCGCCGGTGCCAGTGCACTTCTGCCAGGTCAGAGGAGGGTGCGTCTCAGCCTGAGACGTGCAAGCCTGCTGGGCACGGGCGGCGGCCAGGAAGGCCAGGAGGACACCGAAGTTGGTCTTCATTGTGATGAGCGGGTTGAAGTGGAAGATCCTGAGTGGAAGGCGAAGATGTTGCGAGTGGGATGAAGAACGGAGATTGAATTATCGAGCGAGCGTCCGTGGTTTTATAGAGATTCTCATGAACCTTTTCGCATCAGTTTCCCATGTCTTAATTGACATTCGGAGCCTGCGCCGTGTGGTGGCGACGAGGGCCGCACCAGCGGACTCGATGTCGGCGCGCGGACCGTCGAAGGTGAGGCGCTGACAGCAACATGTCGCGGCGGTTCACGATGACCAGGAAGATCAGGTTCCATGAGCCCAGAAGGGAGTGGCGAGCCGCGTCGCTGCAGCTGCCCGAGAGCCTCGTGCCAGGCAGGACCTTGAAGGACCGTGTCGAAAGCGGCAACTAATGACCCAGGAGCCGCGTCGACGTACTATGGGAGAGAAGCCGAAGATGTGGTCAGGCTCTGCGCATGGCTGCCCCAGGTCTGGGCTTGGGGGTTGACGATGTCCACTGGGGTCATGCGGCTGGATCGACTGCAGGGGTCCACAAGGTTGGGGAAAAGGGGTTGCCGATACTGCCGAGGATCGCCTTGGCAGCCAGCCATAATCAACGCGGAGGGCTTCTACCGAGTGTGACTTTTTTGTTCGTGGGGAATGGTCGCAGGGGCCGTATGGCTCGTACGAACCCGTTCCATGGCTCGTCGCGACCTAGAGCTGGGGGTGCGGCTGTCTTCTGGGACTTCCCGACGTATCGGTTGGTTGTCCTTGGTCTTCAGAGCCCATCGCAACATCCGGTTAATTTGCTGGTGGACTCTACTCATCAATCATCGGCGTCTCCCTGGTGTGCCCGGTTACAAACAAGGAGAAGGTTTTCGGGATCTGACTGGCTCGGATTCCGGGCACCTAGGCGTGCGGCACCCCGCGCCAAGGTCACGCCTATTCAACTTGAGACAGATGCCAACTGCTCAGGAAGAGAGCCTGGAGTTGTGATCATGTCATCGTCAAAAAGCGTTCATGGACGTTGACGATGCGGCGACTTGCCAAGATGGCCAAGCAACGATCCACGATGTGCTCGCATGCCAAGGGCAATTGACGTCTTGGCTCCCGTTCTTGGCGTGGAGGCGGTGCCCGTGGTATTGTTGCTCGAGGCCGACCAGGCGCATCGTTCTCCGATCGCTCTCCTTGGCAATCAATCCTCGGAGAAACTACTGCAGAACACTTTGGGCTGGTAATGCTTCCAACCAGCCCCTGTCATCTTACGACGGAACAGCCTACCGATTCACGCAGCGTGCTGCGAGCGGGAGCAAAATCAACAAGCAGTCGCTCTCTGTATTCGACGCCCGCTGCCATGTTTGCCCCCTGGATTGATCGCCGGTTCTTCGGGAGGCCTGTACCGCAAAAGACTCCACGCAGAAAGACCGAGTACCGGAACAGGTACACAAAGATGGGCGATCCGGCTCCTGGTGTCGTCCCCCACAGATTAATCTGACGAGGAGCATCCCGGATCGGCCACGCGCCACGTCGCATCCTGTGATAACAAGCGCTCATTTTCTCCAGATAGATTGGGCGCCGGTAGGTACAGCGACAGCAGCAGGTTCGGAAGGTAAACAGCCTATCATCTCCTGATGGAACGGTGATGCTGGGGTGAGGAAACTCGGGGAAAGGCTGTTTCAACCCCTCCTTCTTTCGGACATTGGTCTTGTCGTGGTCAACGAGGCGAGTCGTGGCTGTCGGAAATGAGCGCAGAACGGTCGTCTGATCTTCTCCAAGAGAACCTTTGTGGGGTTTTCGGAGTGACCTTGTCGAGAAGTCGAATCTGGAAAGAGAACCAGCTACTGCATCCAGGTAGCTAGCGAATGCCACACACCCTACCCTGGCCGTGCCCTTTCGGCTGCAAAAGGGAAATGCCCTATGGAAGACGCCCCAGTGGGAGCCACGAGATCCATCGTGCAGAAGAGACGTAAGCCCAGCTGAGCCATACAGGGGCGGATCGCTAGTCCCAATCAACGCCATACGAGCTGGATGGTGCCTGAGCATTGGCGTAACGACACTCTAGAGGCACATTGATTCCCCTCACGTACGAGGCGAATGACATTCGTTCCCAGGCCGCCAAACAGGCGAAAAGCTTGGCCTACCGTGCCGGCTTGGCGATCTCGCAGATAGTCTGGGCCTTCATTTCGGGGGGCGCGCGCCGTCAGCGTGGGTCGAGACACGGAGGTTCATGGGTGATGCTCCGAGGATTTCACGTCCCAATCTGGGATCGCGGGGGTTGCGGGGTGACAGCGGGGTAACGGTACGTGCATGGCACTCCTGGAGCATCGAGAAAAGAACCAAATGAAATGGCCGTGGCCTTAGCATGCTGCCAGGCAAGTTTGAATGTGCCTTGAGTTAAGGTGATGGTTGAGGAACAGTTGCGAAGGTGGGCAAGCTCAATCAGAGATGGCAGTCGTGAGTTGACGTGACGTTGAAGGAGGATGACTAAGAAATGTCCCCTGCAGGTTTGGACGTGTATCAATGGGCGAATAGGCACGTGCGCACGGGCCCAGTGCGCGCTGGATCGACGTCCACTTGCATCAATGTCGTAGGAGTAGTACAGCCACAGATGTATACAATGACAAGAATACTGTACATGATTCTCAAGAAGCGCTCATTGCTCGTCATTGCCATTCGCGGCAACCAAGGCAATGTTGGCCTCAACCACCACCTGACGCCGAGAGAGAAGCATCCCGGTATCACAATAACATAGCCCTACAGCCAACCGGCTTTCATACCCAGTAACGCCTGTCCAAGACTGGACTACCACTAGCCATCCCATCGTCACCAAAACCTCGAGCTCCAAGTCCCCTTTCCCCGCCAGCAGCCTGAGTCCGCCCAGTCTTATCCCATGCGCGCGTTGGCTGATGAGTGCAGATGCCTAGTCTGACGGGGAAGGACGCGGTCCCGTTCGTATAGAAGACCACAGTTGTGGCATAGAGACTGAATAATGTTAGCTTCGGCTCGCGCTTCTCGTCTAGCAAAGTGTGCAAGTGTGGGGAGGCTTACTCTTGGCGCCGTCGGGCCGTCTCGTACAGCCCAGACGCTGGTTCCTGGCATGTGGCAATGATAGCACTTCCACGCCAACCTCTCTTGATCCGTCAGCGTGCCGCCCCCGCCCCCGCCATAGCCTGCACCAGTGTCAGGCGTACCGCGGCCGCCTGGCGTGCCCGAACGACCGAGTGGGCTCAGACTGCGGAACCGCTTCTTCTTCTTGGACCGCTCGCCTCTGCCCATGCGCTCCTCTTCCACATCGACGATGCCGCCGAAGCCAGAGAAGGGAATACCGCCCACCAGACCTGTCGTGGAGCTGAAGCGGGCCGTCTCACGCCGCAGGCGACGGATTTGCCGCTCGCGGTCACCTTCCCTCTTCTCAATGTCCTCCTTGGTGAGAATCTCGATCTTGGGCTCCCACTCGTCGGCCAGGCTTTCAGGGTCGTATCGCCAGCCAGCCTCGGCCCCATGGGCGGCATCGTTGGCAATCTCGCTCTGCGCTCCCCAGCCGCCGACCAAACCGCCAGCCTCGCAAGCTTCCTTTTTGAGTCGCAGCACGGCCTCGTAGATGGCGTGCGTCATAGCAGCAACCCACTCGCCGGCCAGTCCCAGATCCGCGCAGGTCTGCTTGGCAAATGCCTCAGCGGTTCCGGGCGGATGGAGCAAGGACCACTCGAATTTATCTGTATAGAGGGTCGACGACAAGTTGATGTTGAGGTTGACGATGCATCGGTAGGTATCGTCTGGGTTGTAGTCTTCGGATTCTGCTGTGATGGGGGTCGCAGCGGCCGTCACGTCAGCAGGGCCTTGACATTCTTCAACAACGCAGGTGTTGCAAGCCCTCGTTCTGCAGAAGGCGTGTTGCACGCTCGTCGCGCGGGCGAAAAGGTGTGGCCGTCGCCGAGTCGTCTCGGTTCAGGAGAAGGGGTTTCGGGGTCCCGGCAGGCAGATTATTACTGGGCTGGGTGTGGAAAAGAGGGTGTAGCGCGACACCAGCATACTCCTCCAGCTGGGTGCGAATCTGTTTGCTGATTTCCGACACCACCTGTTGCCGGTTCGGAAGATCGAGGTCCTGAACCAGAATCTGCGCAAAGTAATCGGTCGTCATGACAGCCTCGTGAAGATTCCACATGAAAATGTCGCGCAGGCGGAAGGGAGGCGTCAGCTCCTGCGGTCGGAACTGTGGAAGCGTAGTGTCGACGCCCGGAATGGCCGCCCAGGGCGCCCCGGGGGACGTAGGCGGGGTATGTCGACGGTCAATGCGTATCGAAACCAGCCGTCAAGGGGAAGGAGAGCTTGTGCCGGAGTTTTGCTGGGTCACTTCGCGGGGAGGGGGCCCTTGGGGGAACCATTCCCGCGACACGGCCTTTGAACCTCGACGGGGTTCCAGCGGCCTCCTTGGCGAACTCGTTCTGGGGGCGTCTTGGCCCTGGTGGGCGAGGATCCTTCTCCCCCTCCTTCAAGCTTTCGCAGGCCCGGTAGGAGGGCGGCCTCCGAATCATCGGCCATCGCCATCAATCTTCATCATATCCATCTTTCGGCGAAATTTGATGGAGGGGGGGGCCGCGCTTTGGCCATTCCGCGAAAAAGGTCCCGGTGGGTGGCCGATTGCGCGGATTCCGGTGTTGAGGAGGGAATTATTGTAGATGCGGAGTCGCGGCGCGTACGACGATTGGAACGCCTGGGGTTTTCGTCTCGTGTGGTCATCTTGGGCGATCAATTGGTAGCTTCGCGGTTATCGCATGTCAGTCGCGCTGTGGACTGGTTGGATGGATCGACGGATCGAGGCGCGTCACTCTGTTTGTGATCGCGTCCTGTCTTGGCAGGGCAGGGTGGTGGTATCGGTCTCCGGGTCGGTAAGCAGCTGGGGAGTTGAAAAATCTTTGAGGGACTCGGGGCGTGTGTTGTTTGCTTTCGCCTTCGGTGATGGGTGGATTCTCGTGGCCACGGTCCTGTGATGTCCGCTGTTGGTGGAGGGAGGCGCGTCAGAAAATCTGGCGGGAGGAGCTTAGCGGGTGAGGTGGGACCCGACATTCACCGAAAACATACCGAAGCACGGGCCTTTTCACCCAGCCGATGTCGAACACAATTCAACACACTTCGCACGCAAAACAGGCATTTCCTTCTCAGATCCGTCCCTCATTTCATTTTTCATCACAAATCATGATATGGTGACAAGGAGGTCAATTCAGCTCAAATCACCATGTTGCATTGACTACAGCTCATCTCCTGAGAAAGAAAAAAAAAACTCGAATTAAAAACATGCCCAACTCTCGGTGCTTGTCAATCACCACGGCAGGGGAGCGCCGTTGTACTGGAAGAACTTTCCACTGCTGTTCTCCCGGGTTGCCTCGTTGAGCAGCTTCTCGAGACCATTGATGCTTGTCTCGACGTCAATGGCACCAAAGGCCTTGGGGTCGACGCCGGGACCGAAGGCGCCGCTGCCCATATCGGTCAGGACGAGGCCGGGGTGGACGACGAAAGACGTGAGCCAGGGCTCCTCAAAGTGAACACGCTTGATGAGCCAGTTGAGAGTCGACTTGCTGGCGCCGTAGGGGCTCAGGGTCGGTGGCAGGCCGAAGCTCTCGAGGGCCTCCTGGCTGCCGAGGCTGCCGATGATGGTCGAGATGGGCAGGAAGACTGGGTTGCCGGTCTTGCTGGCCTGAAGGAGCGGCCGCGTGGCCTGGAAGAGGGTGAGGGGTCCGACGGCGTTGACGTTGATGTGCTCCCGCAGGAGCTCGGGCGTCGTGTTCGCGACCGAGGTGCCCGACTTGGCGATGCCGGCGTTGGCGATCACGACGTCCAGCGAGGTGATGCCGTGCTTGCTCTGGAGCTGCTCGACAGCGGCCGCAGCATCCGTGTCGGAGGACGAGTCGATCTTGACGATGATGAGGCGCGAACCCTCGCCCTTGGGGAGCTGCTCGAGGGACGACGCGCTGGCGGGGTCCCTTGCCGCTGCAATGACGGTGACGCCAGACCTCTCGAGAAGCTTGGCAGTGAAACCCTTGCCAAGGCCGCGGTTCGCGCCAGTGACGAGGAAGGTGGTGGGAGCAGACATGATTAATTGCAGCGTTCGGGATATTGATACGAAGCGTTGAGATGTAGACGATGGAGAACAGAGAGACTCAGACAGCGTGCGCAGCTCCGGCGTCGTAATATACACAGACTGTCATCGTCTCAAAATCCACGCATCTTGCATCATGTGGAGGCTCATCCCACATTTCTCATCAGACTACTCGAGTGTCGGGGATAAGAAGCATCCGGAGAATCAATGGGATGGGTCGAGAAGACATGCGCGATCACCAATCAATGGCAGCCAACCTCGGATGCCACGATGCACTCGAGGGGAAAGGCTGGTGTCACCGCAGAAACTGGGATCGTCTTTGTCATACCGCAATCGCAACAGGCGGTTGTTTGAGTCAACGCGGCGGAAACCCCGTCAGTAGCGCAATGCAGGTAGGTCAACGTAGCCGGGTTTGACGCCCATGCATCTGTCAGTCGCGTGCTATTCCCGATCGTGTAGGCACTCAATGCATTACCCTGGAGGGAGAGCCATCAGTAACGCCGATTCCAGGAATTCCTCCGGCGCGCACTCGTTGACCCGCACTCAGCGCCGCGCCCGGGGATGGTGGGCAGCGAGTCATGTATTCTCGCTTTGTTTCGGCGTGCATTACGATGGTTCTCACCGGGGGCTTTACATAAGCGGCCATGAGGGGAGCTCCATGGACAAGTCCTGCCTGACTGACGCCAGAGTATCAGTAATATTCTCCGATCTGTAACCTACAACCTGCCTTCGGGATGCCCCACCGCACGCCATCGTCCAGTCTACAGTCTACCATACCCAACAGGCAACAGACGTGACGCCAGACCATGGTGTGATTGCGAGGGTCACGACAATCTCCAAAGCCCTCTTCCGTGCGCAAAACGGGGGGAGGGGGCTCACCTTGTCGTCGACAATTAGACACGTCTTATGAGGCACACCTTTCGTCACGTCCTTGATCTACGACGAAGGCGCGATCTCTTGGGTCTTCTCTCAAGTATTCGATAGAGAGCCTGGAGGAGACCGATCCGCGTGAAGTATGCTCACGACAGGAAATAATTGTCAGCTCGGATGAGAGTATGAGATCAGTGATGGGAGACCATCGAGAGGAAGCAAGTGTGCCATGGTACGTGAAAGAATGCCCGAGGATAACCAAAATGTTCTTAGCCTGCATTGAAAGGCTGTTGTTCTCGAACATCAAGATTTTGCTGAAGAATATGAGAGTCGCTGGGAGACTGCAAAACCTGCATATCAGCCTCTGTGGCTGTTGACTTTTCAAGTTCGAGGAAGAAAGCCAACCATCTGGAGGCCTTGTACGAATTTGCCAGACTTGAATCGAAACAACGGAGGCAAATTAGGCAACGAAAACTCTCCAGCATCCCTTCCTCGAGCGCATTGGGGAGTGTCTCAAATCGAGGCCAAGCTTTGTTCGTGTCACACATGTACACCTTCCCCGAAAGACCACTCTAAGTGATAGAGAGACGTTGAAGACGGCGCCCACTTTGGTCAGTACCCAAACTTTGACTGATGACCATGTGTGTTGGCCTTATACTAGCAATGCTGTGAACCATGGTGGGCCTCAAGTGCCGGGAGCAGACAGCGGGCACTCGCCCCGGGATCCACTCCTTCGGCTCAACTCGAGGTCCGGCGACTAAAGTTTAAAAGAGTCTCAGCGGCCGCATCGAACGGTGACAGCAGACCTGTACCAGATTGTGTTTACATCGTTACTTGCGAACCAAGTACTATCAAGTCATCTACGTTGACAGATATCCAGCATGAAGGCACTCGTCTCCAATCGCTTCATCGCGACCCGCCTGTTCAACTTTGCTTTCAACAAATCGATCTTCGCACCCGGCGGCAGCGTCACTGAGGTTCCAAAACCCACCATCGGCGCGAATGAGATCCTCGTCAGAGTCAAGGCCGTGGCGTTGAATCCAACAGACTTCAAGCACCTCGATGTTATATCACCCCCCGGCTCCGTCATTGGTTGCGACTACGCCGGCGAGGTTGCAGAGGTTGGCAGCAACGCGACCGCACTATGGGAAGTCGGCGACCGTGTGGCTGGTGCCGTGCACGGCGGTCTGTTCCCTGATCGTGGCGCGTTTGCTGAGTATCTCAAGATCGACGCCGACCTTGCCTGGCGCGTCCCATCGACAGTCAGCGACGCCGATGCCACTACCTACGGCGTCTCGGCCATCACTGCAATGCTGAGCCTCAACCTCCGACATGGGTTCCCCTGGGCCGACGAGGGCCAGCAGGCGCCGAACGGCAAGGAGATCTTTATCTACGGTGGCTCCACGAGTGCTGGCCTCTTCCACATCCAGCTCGCCAAAATCGCAGGCTACAAAGTCATCACGACAGCGTCATCCCGATCAGCCGACCTTGTCAAAGGGTACGGTGCCGACGCAGTCTTCGACTACAACAAGCCCAACGTGGCAAAAGAAATCATCAAAGCCCATCCCGCCGTCGAGAAAGCCGTCGACTGCTACGGTGAGGGCCCTTCCACCGAGATCTGCACCGAGGTCTTGAGGAACGCCGGCGGCAAGGTGGTGATACTCCTCCCGAATGGAAAGTCCAAGGTGCCTGGCGTCACGCTCGAGTTGGTCATGGCCTACACGCTCATGGGCAGGCCCTTTCAGTGGTTGCCGCCGGTGGGCCCCAAGTTCGAGGGCAACCCCGACGACCGAGCAGGGTTGGCGCGCTTCTACAAGGCCCTGCCGGAGCTCACGACCACGCTGAAACCCGTGCCCGTATCGGTCAGCGAAGGGGGCTTTACTGACATCCTGGCCGGACTGGACAAGCTCCGACAGAAGAAGGTTTCTGGTTCCAAGTTAGTGGTCAAGTTCTAGGTGGCTGCGAGATGTGCCGTGATTTTCAGCCGAGTTTGAGATTTTCTTTGCAGACATGCCCTTAGCGCAAGTCACTAAATACATCTAGTCGAGACCTTTACATGCGCAACACGATGATGAGGGCCTGGGGCCGGTGATGTGTGTCTCGCTACAGCGATTACCTCTCAGCTTCATCACATTTAAAGGGAAGCTGCGACCACCATGCGGCCACCTAGCTCCTGTTTTGGGTTTCATGCCTCTGGTGAATCATCATCAAAGTACCTATTTAACCTGCCCACGCAAAGCAATTAGCGATGCAAACCAGAACCGCTGGGACTTAGTTTACAAGCATGCCGGATCTGATTGCGATAACTTCAATGCCATTACGTGTGCCTATCAAAGGTCGGCAAAGCCAGATATTGCCGAGACTTTCAGAACAATTCAAATAGACCAGCTTACGCGTACACATTGTAACTCTGCGCCAAGGGCTGCGTTCTGTGACATTGATCCTGTACTCGCCATCGCATCCTTGACCTGTCTCACTCATCTGTACCTGCAGAGAGCAGAGAGGAGTAGGCAGAGCGCTCAAACAAGAATCGACGCCGCATCGACCTATGCTCCTGCCGAACGAGGACACTTCCTCCCTCGCCAGGCTCTAATCAGGAAGGCGTTCGTCAGGTGTTCAACGTCATATCTGCTCCTTCTGCAAGTCATCGGTGTCAAGTGAAGAGAGCACGTATCACGATGAATGGAG